TACACGAAATGGCTTCCTCACATACTCCAATATATCCTATTGCTAGTCATTTATTTATCACAAGTGGCAGTTGTTCTGATAGTACTCCATCAGAATGCTCTCCAAGGTCTATGCCACATTATTTGCTAAAAGACTGGAGAGAAGACTTCTGTGCTAGTCTTGAAGTTCTAGATGTGGGATGTTACAGAAAATAAGGAAATCTGGGTTAAATTCTGTGGTCCTGACACGAGAGTCAATGGGCTTCAGCAGCATCTGCGTAATCCCAGAGTTGAGTTGGCCATATGGGTGTCGTCTTCCGTCCTCATGGTTCCATGTTCACCGTCCAAACACTTAGGAGTGGTCAGTTGAAGAGTCTCTCTAGGATGTAGTAGTTACTCAGCAAATATTGGTTGAATGCTTTCATGAGTGGTGTTTACCTTTTGCACTTGGTCTTTTGGGTTGGACAATCAAGTACTTTAGTCTGTGCTAGAACTAACATATCCTTGTTCAAATCAGTGGGAGGATAGACTATCTCCTAGAAAGCCTCAAAGTCTCTTGTATTCCTTATTCTATAATCTGCAAGTTTAAAAGAAAAAAAGTGTGTGTGTGTCAAAAGTACAGAAGCAATCAAAGATCTATAGGATATACTCCCTCAGCCCTAGGGACCCAAAGAGAGAAGAAAAAGAAAGACTACAATTTACACCAGGCTCTGTGCTGGTGTGTTAAATATACCATCTCTTTAGTCCTCACAACAATCCCATTGTATAGATGCAAAGAACAGGGGGAAATAAGTTGCTCAAAGTCAGACAGCTGCTACAGAGGGAAGCAGAAATTCAAATCAATCCTAGACAGTTTTAAGCTGTGTGAACCCAGTTTACAAGACTCCCCTGACTCACTTAGTCCATGTGCCCTGGGCTTCTGTTGCTTGTTGAATGGAGAGCGCTGTCCACCACTGCCCTGTACCTCCACATTGCTGATGGCCCCAGCCAGCCTCTTCAGGGTTGAGGGCTGGGCTTCATCATGCCCACCATGGTGGGAGCCTCTGCAGAGATGGCAGCCGGGCCCAGCCAGACCAGACCTGTGGAGGCTTTGGCTCCTCTCCACACTTCTAGATTCAGATGCTATGCTGCTCCCTGGGACACCAGAGGCTAAGCCACACAATCCAGAAATGGGGGGCCGGCCCGGTGGTGTAGCGGTTAAGTTCGCATGCTCCACTTTGGTGGCCTGGGGTTCTCGGGGTTCTCAGATCCCAGGCACAGACCTACACACCACTCATCAAGCCATTGTAGGGGAGGAAGACAAATCCTCTACCCTCTGGGTCCTTCTGGCTGGGGTACAAATTAAATTGACATAAGACAGAATAACACGAGAAAATCAAACAAAGCTTTATAACATGTATGCTTGGGAGAGACTCAGGAAAACTGAGCAACTCACCAAAATGGCAGGGGCTCTCATCTTAAATACCATCTTCAGTAGAGACAAAGGAGGATGTTGCAGGTAGGGGGACTCAGCTACTGGAGATTACCAGAAAAGCATGGTAAACAAGACTAAGGTTATTATGTAGACTTAAGTCCTTGCCTTCCGCATTGATAAGAGTTTCTAGAGATAAGGTCATCCCCCCTTCTTCCTGGTACAGAGAGGGAAATACCTTTATAGATGGAGATTTCCCTTACAAATGTAAGTGTCTCTTACAAAGTGTAAATTCTACTTTTCAGAGCTTCTCCTATGTCTGCAGTTTTTAAAAGTAATAATCCTCATTAGCCCAAAATAATCCTCAGGCCAAAGAGACACATTTTGGGGTAGCCAATTCTGATCCCCCACACCATACTGTGGCTGTGTCCCACATATAAAATAGAGGAAGATTGGCACAGATGTTAGCTCAGGGCCAACCTTCCTCACCAAAAAAACAAAAAGAAGAAAGAAAGAAGTGGGGAGACTCAACTCCTCACAGGGAAAACTTGGACCAATGAAAGATAGGAAACTCAAAGGAGCCACACATAAATGCCTCTCCCTCCTCTGCCATCAGACTGCTCTGAGATGTAGTGGGTCCAGTTAGCCTTTCTGGAGACCGAGCTTCCAGTTGTGTCTTCCTGTGAAGCTGGGCCCAGATCAGGAACGTAGACCCTGACGTTTGCTCTCCTTCCTTCTTTGCCTCACTTTCCTTCTGCCCTCACACTTACTGCTCTGGGGTCGCATACACACACACACACACACACACACACACACACACACACACACACCCCGCCCCCAATAAAGTGTTAACCTATAAGTTTTGCCTTAGGCTCTGTTTGCTAGGGATCTCTGGCTAAAACATAAGCTTATGCTCTTTCGTTTATAAAATGACAGTGCTGCCACCCATCCCTCAAAAGTCCAAGAAAAAGATAGAAACAAAACCCCGCTTAGTAGATGTTACCCCTTCTGATGATAGCCAACAGATAATTTGAAAGAAAAACACCAGCTTTATTGGGGTGTGGGAAGCAGTGCGTTACGATGGCCCTAATTGTGCCTCCGTGCTCTCCTTGTATCTACCCTAACCACCACCTGTCCTTCTCTCCTTGCTTTTAGACAAACGTGCTGTGTTAACACTTATGTGAGCAGAAGGGCTCCCTTCGTCTTACTGTGACCATCATATGTAGCCCAGTAGGATGGGAAGTGTCAATCACCCTAAGTTCAAGTCCTAGTTCTCCTGCTTACTAGCTGTTTGACTTGAGAAAGTCATTGTATCTCCAAGTAGATATTTCCTCCCCTGGAAAATAGAAGAAAGACTCTCTGCCTCCCTCCCCACGGGCTAAGGTGACATAGTGAAAGCACTCGGAAGCACCATACAGATGTGCTTTCCCTGTGTAAGGAAAAGTAAGGGAATAACTGTCTAATTTAGGCTCTTAAATTTCCCTCACTAAAAATAACAAAACCCTTCAGTAGGAGAATATAAAGGAATAAATCACTTAAATCTTCTTAAATATCTTCAAGATAATAATTAAGGTTAAAAGATAAAGGGTTAAGACCTCCACTCCTGGCCAAGATGGAATAAAAGAGACTAGATTTTCTCTCCCACATGAAACAAAGAAAAAAATAAATATAAAAAATATATTTTAAGAAAATAATTTTCAAGACACTGGACATCAAGCAGTGAAGTGATTCTCTGAGAGAAAGGAAACGAATGCGGGGAGCCCTTCAGTTGTTCCAGCTTACTGCTGGAGAGTTTCCAGGCTACGGTGCAGAGAGAAGGAAGCCTTGTGGAGATTGGTGGACTCCGTGGGTTGAGTTGATGGGGCTGAGGGTCCAAGTGACCAAGGTGGCTGGAGTTCAGAGGACAGAGTATCAGAGATGCAAGAGATTCTCAGAAAGAGAACTCTGGAGATCTGCAGAGGGTCCCCCTCCAGTGTTCCACAGAGTACTAATCAGTGTGTGCACATGAGGGAACTAGTTGAAGCTGGGAAAAACCACCCAAAAGGATTAGCGGGAACAGTAGCTGGTGCTCACACCAGGCTTGGAATAGCCAAGACTGGAAAACTTTTTGATTCACCAGACACTGGGTAGAGTTCTTCAAAGAGTTTTGCCTCAACAGTGGGTAATAATTAGTCCCAAACTAAACACTGCTTTGGTCCAGCCCAACAAATCTTAAAAACGAGACCTGAAAGAATCAAGTTGTTTCCAAGTAACTAAACTGCATTCCAGAGCAAAGCTCAAAAATATTTATGGGAATACAAAAATCCCTGGCATCTAACATGGTCAGAATGACAATACCTGGCATCCAATAAAAAATTTTAAGGCATGCAAAGAAACAGGAAAATATGCCCCATAATGATGGGGAAAAAATGAATCAAAACTGACTCAGAACTGACACCAGATGTTAGAATTAGCAGAGAAGGACATTAAAAATTATTATATTTCAGATGCTCAAAACCTTAAATAGAGACATAGGTTTTCTTAAAGACTCAAATCAAACGTCTAGAGATGAAAACTACAATGTCTGAGTTGAAAGATACCCAGGATGGGGCTAACAGTATATCCATACAATGGAATACTACTCAGCAATGAAAAGGAATGAACTATGGATACAACATTGATGAATCTCAAAATAATTGTGTTGAGTTAAATAATCCAGACAAAAAGGTTGAGTCCTGTACAATTCCTTTTATATGAAATTCTAGAAGATGCAAAATAGTCTTTAGTTACAGAAAGCAGATCAATGATTACCTGGTAGGGGGTTAGTTGATGGGGAAGGGATTCCCAAGAAGCACAAGGAAACTTTGGGGGGTGATGGATATGTTCATTATTTTGATTTTTATGATGGTTTCACAAGTGTAAACAGATGTCAAAATGTATCGGTTTGTACACTTTAAATATGTGCAGTTTATTGTAAATCAGTTATAACTTAGTAAAGCTGTTTTAAAAAGACAAACACGTATTTTAAAAAACCACTGCACAACTTGGGAAATAGAGGATTTATAAATATAACCACATTTTTTAATACTTAAAATTTTGTAAATTTTAGACAATGGTAAATATTTAAATCTGTAATTTTTGTTACTTCTAAATCTGTAATGTCTATAGACCACATCTAAGTATAGTATCTATAGTATCAGTATAGTATCTAAAATTTGGTTTGAGGGTTCTTTCTTTTTTTAACAATAAATTAGAAAATCTTTTCCCCTGTTGTTTAGAATTATATATTTTCATCAAGTTTTTTTAATTAAACAAAATATTAGGAGCCAGAAAAGCACAAGGTAAATCTCAATGATCATTTTTTCCAAAGTTCACTTTATAAAATACGAAAATTCTACACATTTTTCTTAACCATAAGTGACTGTACATTTACTCCCTAATATCCTTCCCTGTTTGATATGAGGTCTGGGCTGAAAAACTCTCTAAATGTCTGATTAAAGACTCGAGGGCTTTAATTCCTGTTGTCCTGCCTCATTAGAGATACAGTTGTGTGAAGCGTGCTCATTATATTTTGGGAAGAACTAATTTGTGTACTCTCATGTTCCCAACTTGTCTGTCCTGATGTCCCCCAGTGTGACGCTGACCGAGACGAGGATGAGGTGTTCCGTGACATCAGCGCAGCAGTTGACAGCAAGTTATTCCCAAACAAAGAGGCCTCGGCCGGTAAGTGCCTGTGCCCCTTGGACAACAGCATGCCCCGCTCCTCTGGGGCTTTGTGGTAATGTTAGAGCGCGACAAAGTGCTGTAAGGTTTTAAGGATGACACAGTCCTCAGAGCTTTACACTTTCTGGTTTAAAAATAAAGGTACAAAACAAAATAGAAAAGAAGGACTATACACCTGGCCCTCATAGTTACTGCTTTTCTTCCGGTCACTGCTCATGTAAATGTAGTCACAATGTAGCAGGACCTGTGTTACTATAACAGAAAAAAATCTAATCTAGCCCATACTGCGTGCAGCAATTCAAAGTTACAATTGCTCCAGGACTGCCTAACTCAGACACGTCACTCCTGTGCCGCCTGGGAAAAGCCTCCCCTTCAATCTGGTGGCCATTCCCCTCCCTGCCCACAGCCCCTGTAGCGGCTCTGCCCCCACTCCTCCTACGTGCTCTGGCCTAGAAGCTGGACGTTGGACAGGAGTGCAAGGCAATCAGACCCCTTTACGTGGGCGGTTCTCACAGTTCTGTCCTCTACCCCTCTTTCGCTCTCTTTTACTCTCTGGCTCTGGGTCAGCTCCTTGTCCCTGATGGCTTCAACTATCAGCTCCATGTGGACGACTCTCAAGTCTTCGTCCAGTCCTGACCTTTCTTCTCAGTTATGGCCTCAGTGGGTAAAGACCAAAAGTTCTGGGCTGCAGAGAAAAAGGCTAACCACTTAAAATTTTAAACCATATTTGAAGCCCCCTAGGAATAGCTTCAAAGAGAGGCAGAATGAAAGGAAGGGCAAGGCGATATTCTTTCTAGGCAGACCGACAGAGCACAGATAACTGATGTGAACTCACCCGCCTAGTTTTCCAGTGACATTTGCAAGAAGATGGCCTATTGCAGGGAAAGACGGAATATTGAGAAGCATGTGAGATCATGTAAACAAGACTATTGCTGCTCTGAAAAATGCTGTGACCCTGTGCTTTTTAAGTGAATATTTTATTTAGAACATTTATTTAGACCTCTACGACAAATATCTAACAGCTAGATATCCTCAGTTTGCAATGGAGGAGCTGATTCAAGCTGCCCCTTCTTTAGAACCCCAGCACTTGGTGGCATTTCTCCAAGGTGGCCTAATCGTGCAGTAATGCTGCTGTGCTGGCTTCTGTGCTAGTTGGTAAATGGCCCGAGGACAGGTGCTCTGTCCTCGTCCTCCCCAAGTCCCCTTGGCAGAGTGCACGGTGCCTGGCCTGTAGCAGAGGTTTCCAGGGGCCTACTCTTTCCTGTCTACACCTCCGGGCTTATGAGCAGAAGAGTCTGTACCCATAGCCCCAACTCCTGCTCGCTCCCTTCCACTCCCCAGACCCTGAGAGCTGGGTTCTGCTGCAGCCTTAAAATAACCCTGTTCTGTCTATAACAGCCGTTGGTGAGTGAAGTCAGCCTGGGAGGGCCTGTGGTAAACTAGAGATAAAGGATTCCTCCCCTGTGGGAGGCAGCCGCTTCTCAGCTCCAGGCTATTGTTGCCATTAAGACACTGGCTGGTGTTGCTGGATCCTTCTCTCTTTCAAGAGAAAACAGAACCCTGCATCTGTAGGTGAAATCTCCAGGATTGTAAATGTTGGTGACTCACCCAATTAAGCAAGCCTCTGCTCTGTGACTTGTCTGCCCCCAGGTTTGGTCCCTCCACTCTCCCCTTCTCTCTTCGCAGAATCGCAGCTGCCCCAGGGGTCCCACATCACCTCCATGTGAATGGCTTTCAATTCTTCTTTTGAATTTTTTAATAAAAATTGTATATATTTAAGGTGTGCAACATGATGATTTGATACACATGTACATAGTGAAATGATTACTATAGTCAAGCTAATTAACATATCTTCTCTTCACATAGTTACCATTTTTCTGTGTGTGAGGAGAGCACCTGAAATATATTCTCTTAGCCAATTGCCAGTGTTCAATACAGTAGTATTAACTCTAGTCATCTCTGCATTAGAGCTCTTGACCTAGTCATCCTGCTCAACTGCAACTTTGTAGCCTTTGGCCAGCATTCTCCCCCACCTGCGTGCCCATGGTAACCACCGCTCTGCTCTCTGCTTCTATGTATTGGACATTTTTAGATTCCACATATAAATGAGATCATGCAGTTTTTCATTTTTAAGAGAGCCCGGCAAAAGTGTCCCTGCCCTCCTGGCCCACACGGATCCTCATTCCTCAGGGACCCTCGGGAGTCCCGTCCTTGTTCTGTCTCCCCTGCACTCATCAAAGGCTGTGTCATTCCTCGCTGGCCTTTCACCTCATCCCTGGCCGCTCCCGTCTGTCATGAGTGCTGTGGCTGCTGTGGGGATCCTCACAGAGTGCAACTCTGATCACCCCGCCTCCCCAGTAAAAAAAAACCTTCAATGACTTTCCTGCGGGCTGAGTGCCAGTGTCCCTAATATGACAGAAGTATCCTAGCTTTCCTACATTGGTCCTGTAGGACCACTCACCTCCCGCTCCCCCACGCCAGCTTCCCCCAGTCCCTTGAGTGCCTCGAGTACCTTCCTGCCTCTGGCCATTTGCACAAGTTACTTGGAACTGCCTGTCTCCATTTGCATCCCTCTACTCTCCCAGCTCCTAGCCCCATCCTCCACCTGGCCAGATCCCGCTTTGTATCTCAGTTTAAAGTGTGATTTCCTCAGGAAGCTTTCTCAGACGCCTGCCCAGACTAGATTAGGCCCTCGCATAGTACCTGCGCTTTTCCTTCAGGACATTCATCACAATTGTGATTCTATAATTAGGTATATGATTGTTTATTAAAAATCTATTTCCCTTATTAGAGGGCAAGACTTCATGAGGACAGAGTGTGTGTGTCTGTCTGTCTGTCGGTCTGTGTCTGTGTCTGTGCGCCTGCGTGTATCTGTGTGTTTGATATCCGGTGTGAATCTCACAGGAGATGGCACATAAGCTCTTTCTTTTCCAGCTGGCCACCTCAGCTGGACCACCGAGTACACTGACACATGGCCATACTAAATTTTCTTTAGCTCCAGAGCAGAGCATGCATTTGCTTGCCTCCACACTATGGAACACCATTCCCTGAACCTCTGCACCCTTCAAGCCCCATTCTTCATTGTCTTCTTTTCCCTGGCACCTTTCATTAATACTTCTAGCAGAGCCATCTGGCCACATCACTCAATCTCTCTGGACCTCGTTTCCTCCTCTATAAAGAGGGGCTAATAATAGTGCTACCTCATAGGATTGTTGTGGAGAATAAATGGCTTATGTGTATACAGCGTGTGGCTGTCACATTGAAGAGGCTACATATAAGTTAGTATCTTTGCTGAGGATTTGAGGAGTCACAGGGACAGGCCACATATTCAACACAACAGTTCCCCATTTTCCTAGGTCTGTTTCTACTCTCTCCTCTCTCTCTCTCCCTCCCTTCCCCTACCCCTGTCGTGGACTAACTGGAAAATCCTCCGTTCCCTTCTCACTCGGAAGAGTCCACTAACATCAGATCCCTCAAGGAGCTCACCTTCTAGTCCCAAATATGGTCCAGATTTTTTCCAAAGAAATGCAGTGCTCTTCTTCAAAGGAATTCTAACGCCGACTGTGACTAACATTTCCCACACTTGGGATTAGAGCTGGATTCTCCGTGCCTAATGCCTAAGGCTCTTAGGAGGGATTAGTGTTTCTAGAGGGAATGAAAAGGATCAAGATCTGCAAAAGTAAAATGTAAATGTCCTTTTACTCTTTTTTCAGTCATTCAGCATATGTGTATCGAATGCATAGAATTTCTAAGTTTTGTTCTTAAATTCAGAGAAATATAACCTTACCTAAAGCTGCTTACAGCTTACTGGAAGAGACGGGACAGGGGAGACCACTTTCCTGCGAGGGGACAGATGAAGAGTTGGAGGAGTTTTGCCTGCAGATGCCCTGCGCTGCCCCAGAAGTCCTGCCTGGCAGCAGTGTCCCTTTATTTGGTACTCAAAGTGGGAGGAGGACCTTCCTAAAACTTCAGATTGAAGATCCACTAGGAAGAAAAAAGTCTGTGACATTGTCCCAGAAAGTAAGATGGTTAGCCTTCCACTACCTCTACAGCCAATTTGTATCATCTTTCCACTTAAATTTAAGGAGAAAACCTGAAAATAATATTTCCAAAGACCATTCTACATCTAAAACTGGTGACACTGAGTGCTCCCTGTGGGGTTCTGTTCAGCTCATACCTTTCTCTGTTATCTATAGAAAGGATATTTTTAAATCTGAAAAGAAGTCAAGAAATTTAAAATAGGGAGAAATGAGAGCCATACTATCCCTTTTTCAAAATGTCCTAATTTTGCTGTCTTTTTTGAGTAACAAGATCATTGAAGTTCTTTTATGTGTTAAATTGTCCAATGAAAGAAGGCAAAAATGTGTACATATGGCTATATTTACCTCCCTATTTTGTATGTCAAACCTTAGACTATCATTAAAGGTCCCATTTTCAGCAAACCGAGCAACAAATACTAAAAGAAAGTGAAGGATATTCAATCATTATCTGAGCTGATAATGACATCCTTTGTCTATTGCCTCCTTTGATGTATTAGCACTGTTGCCAAGAGCAACAACATGTCAAGAAATTCCATCCTTTAATGACACAATAAAGTTTCTGTTAAAAGCATTTTATTAGGAAAGCCAATCTCTTCTTCCTTATAAGCACAAGTTGTTTTTTTTCCAACAAGTTCTCTTCATTCTACCATTGCTGAAGATAGTTTTCTAATAATCTTGTTCCGGTGTCAAATATTAATGGGTATTATCTGTTAACCGGGTTGTTTAAGAGCCCTTCATATTGTACTTTTTTAAAACAACTGAAAGACTAGTTTCTAATTAAATAAAATAAGTAGGACACAGGAACTAAAACAGCTATATGTTTAATAAGCCTTTGTGTTCAGATCACATGAATCCCTCTAAATACCGCTGAGGGGAGGGTGTCATTTGAATCCAGGTGCCTATCACCATTTCCACTAGTGAGTGGTGGGTAATATCCATATTGTGGAAGTAATGAAAGCTAAATCAAATTGGCATTGCCTTTAATGATGCTGTCAATAGCAGCCACCTAGACAGGAGCGTTGACTGTCACAGGCTGGAGGGACACTCCTTGGTTTCCCTTCTGATTCTTCCATTTCCGCAGCCACCCAGAGACACGCCTCAATATCAACCATTCACTGTTCCTCAGTTTCTCAGAACGTGAAAGAGATGGCTGCCTCCTCCAGGTCCTCTCCTGCAGAGTACTGTCGTGAAAGGTCATATTTATAAGGCCATTTGGGTTGCTCTTGTTTAGAATTTGGAGTCAGCAGAATGTATTAGGAGAGAGAAATGGGAGCTACGACTTCTGCCTTTGATCTCACTCACTTTCTGCATGACTTGGCCAAGTTATTTAACTTCTCCGCAGCTAATTTTCCTCTTTTTGAAACAAGGGGGTGGGATTCTGTGAAATACTGTTTCCAAAATGCCTGTGATCTACTCATGGAAAAATATGCATTCTACATCTGACATCTCTACTGCCTCACGACACGTGAGTGCAAACTGATCTTCAAATTGGGCTTTGAGACAGTCGAATGTTTTGGCCCTAAGATACACCTTATAACATTTTTTCTTTGAAAAATACCAAAAGCACAAATATAGAAAAATTATATATAATCCCACTACTTAAACAGATATATATATATAAAATTAAATTTTCCATATCACCCCTGTAGTCTCACTCTGATAGTTGCATGTGGTACATGGTGTTCCCAACTCCATTCTAGCAAGCACGGAATTGACCACGGAATTGACAAGTGCTGCCCTGACAGGGTGACTAGCATCACCTAGACTTGTGTTGTACACACCTACGCAACTGCATTTGGCAACTCTGCACTTAGTTACTTTTCCAAAATGGTTGATGGGTCAAGTATCTCCATTTTGAAAACCTTTGTCAACCATTAAAAAAGTTTTTAAGATATAAACATAGTAAACAATGGTATGACTGCTGAGTACTTAGTCAGTTTGATAATGAGCTAGTACTTAGTCATTTTGGTAAACATCAGGGGTAATGATGTGAAGAGAAGAAAAAAGAGAAGAGATGAGAAGACACTGCTTGAATTTCTTTTGGGAAGAAAGTATGAAAGCAGCGTCTCTAGGAGAGGTCCACATCTGAGAAGTATGTGAGATGCTTGAAGTTCTTTTAAAAATCCATCTTCATTAAACATTACCCATTGCATATTCCGACCAAAACTATTTGGCAAGGCCAAGTTTACGATGAAACATGGAGTGGTTGGTTTCTTCACAGGGTGCATAGCATCTTATGGGCAGCACTGAAGTCTGTCCTTTTGGCTGGTTAGGTGATTCGCATTTCCCAGCAGGAAAGACTCATTCGATGAGGACAATGAATCAGTTGTGCTTCAGGAACCCCATTACGAAAATGACCAGTTTAAGTTTGAGCCTTGGGGATTCATGGGTAAGCAGTTTAATGTAAACTGTAGTAATTAGGAGGGAAAAAACCTCTCTATTAATACATTAAGTTAACCTGATTTTTCTCACCTTTAGTTAGGGACTAAGATGACCCAAAGGCTGGAGGAAAAACTTCTCAGGTTTTCATGGAGTGAGCAAACTCAGCCCTTCTGATTTCTGGAAACCCCTTGCTCTTCCCACTCTGTACTTTGCTCCCGGTGTCCGTTCTACCTCAGTTACCATTGCACACCCCTAAACCGCTTCTCCTCCTGGACAATCCTGTTCACCCTCATGGTTCCGGCTTATAGATTAGTTCCTCATGAAGAATCCCACCTCCATCATCACCTCCACCATGAGTCAGAATTAACAGCTCTTTCTTTTTGGATTCTGAACCTTGCTGTTGACCAATCAACCTCCTCCACAAGATTGTCTTCTTCTTAAGGGTGGAGACAGTGTCCAGAGTACTTGCGTTTTCTATCTGCAGCCCAAACATAGTGCCTGGGGTTGGGAAGAGTCTAGAAATGTTTGTGAATTTAATGTAACCATAAGGACAATATGGAAACCAAGTGGGAGATGGTTTGCTTCAGATGCATGGACAGACAGCCTCCATCAGGTAATCCTTTCTTTCCTAATCTTAGGTTCAAGTGATCTTGATCCTTCAATGATGTTGGACACTGGAGAGAACGTTGATACAGGATCTGATTATGAAGATCAGGTAAATTAAAATCTAAAAATATGTCTGTATTTAAATGTTTTTAATTTTAGCCCTTGTAAATGTTTTATGAGAATTAGAATTATAAATCATTTTGTGACGTGTTTACAGGTAACTAGTAACATATTCCATGATAAATCATAGTAGCCTACAGCTTTCACTCATGAATTTCAGCCCTTTAGCCCTCCTGTATCCGCAGATCCAAACTGGCAATTCGTTCAGGAAAGGTTTTTGGTCAAAGGTCACACAAGATAGAAATGAGGTTACATGAGGCTCTCTTGCCCGAGAATTTGCCTGTGTCTCTGTCCCTTCCCCATAATGAACCAACAGTACTTACTGAGCATGAGCTACAGGTTCAGGGCTCTGCTTTTCTATTTCTAACCTTTGAAAGGGAATGATGGCCAATGACAACACAGCCAAGAAGTTAAATATATTTTCTATTTGAATAAAAGAACTTTATCTGGGTCATTTTCCTCTCAGCAGAAGAACTCTCCCTGCTGCTATATTTTAATGATCCAAAATGGTTGGCAAATGATCCAACTCTCTAATTAGGCTTTATTTTTTTAAAAGGATGTCTGAAACTTCCTTCCATCTCTCATCAGTGCTCCTCTACGGTGGCTGAAAGCCAAGTGAACGTGTTCTTCTGGGGGTTTTTCCCATCTTCAATTAAATCATGTCACAAATAAAGCAAAGAGGTCTGAGCAGTGTCCAAATGTAACAGCTGGCTATACATTTCATATACACATTCAGAAGCTATTTTCATGAGCATTACGTTTCTTCCCTTATATCACAAAGCGAGGAGAAAATATTTACAAGTGAGATAATAGGTACCACGTATTTATAATATTTTTTAGCATTTATTAGCACTTAATACATGCTAAACATTCTGCTAAGTTCCTTAATTTGCTTATCTCACTAATTCCTCACAACATCTCTAGGAAATAGGAATTATTATCTTTATTTCATAGATAAGAAAATTAAGAATCAAAGAGTAGTTTTCCCACAGTTACACAAGTAGTTTCACGGGAGGAAGTGAACTGAGGGCACATTTCCAAACATCTGCGCTATCCTGCCTCCAGCTTAGCCTCCAAAGTCAGGCCATTCAGTGAGTCGTTTTTGGAGCCTCTTCAGTTGCTAACTCTTAAGACCCCAGCAGAGGCAAACGCCAGACAACCACTACTGAAGGTGAGCTCACGATCCAAAATTATAGGCTGCACAAGGAAATGAACCATAACGAGAAATCCAACTAATTAAACAAATGGAAGCCTTCACACCCCAAGAACTAGAGATAACAGAAGAGTCTGAAAGAAATCTTAATAAGGGAATATTTAAAATATTCAAAGATAAAGGGAAGATTAGAAACCATGAAACAAGTACAGGAAAGAAAGGTAAGGAAGAGGCAGGAAAGAAAAGGGAAGAAATAGAACTTCTAGGCACAAAAAATATGTCCTTGAAATAAAAATTCAATTAACAGGTTGAATAGTAGACTAGACACAGCTAAAAAGAAACTTAATGATGGAGCTAAGGAAATTGCCTTAGAATAAAACAGAAAGCTAAATAGTTGTCAAATATAAGAAGGAACTGAGGAGACGCCGAGCATAGAATGATTGGGCCAAAGTGTTCTAAAAGGAGTTGCAGAAGGACCAAATGGAGGGGATGGAGCAGAGGCTGTATTCTAACAGACAATAGTTGAGAGTTTTATAGAGATGAGAGAAGACAAGTCCCCACATTGAAGGAGCACATCCAGTCCTGAGCAGGATTAAAAAAAAAAAAAATCCTCACCTATTCTTTTTTCATTTGGTCATTCGACAAATACTAATTGAGCACCTACTGTGTGCCAGGTACTGTTTAGGCACTTGAAATATATAATTATGTAAAACAGACAAGGCGCTTGCACCCTAGTGAGGAAGACAGATAGTAAACAATAAATGTGACAAATTAATCACTTCTCTAGATTGTCAGAGGAGATAAGTTTTATGAGAAAAGAAAAAAGAAAAAATACAACAGAGTGAGAGAGTTAGGAATGCTGGGCTGGGGGGCAGATTACAGTATTAAATAGGATGATCAATATTAACCAAGACGGCCTCACTAAAGAGGTATGGTGTGAGCAGAGACTTGGCATATAATGTAAAACATCAGAACACAAAGGACAAAAATTAAATATTAAAAGTGAAAAGGCCTTACCTATAAAGGAACAGCAATTTTGGTGGCAGCAGAGTAAATGAAGCAAGAGTGTGCATTTATTGAGCACCGACTGTAAACCAGACAGTGTGTTTTATGGTTTACGTGTGTTATTGCTAATCCTTCCAGTCACTCAAGAAGGTGGCTCTGTCTATCCCCAGTTTACAGCTGAGGAAATTGAAGCTCATAGAAGTTAAATGACTTCCCAAGACCACGCAGCTGGCAAGATGTAGAGTCAGGAATCAAACTCTGGTCAGCCTGGCACCAGAATCTGGTTTCTACTTTCACCACTCCAAATAAAGCCATTGTCAAGGTCACTGGTAATCCATTGCCAAGTCTAATTGACACTTTTTAGTTATCTTTCTTGACCTATGCTTCATTCATTCACCAAACCTCCACTGTAAAGGGCCAGGTAGTAAATATTTTAGGCTTTGTGGGCCATGTGGTCTCTGCTACCATCACTCAAACTCTGCCATTGTAGTGCAAAAGCAGCCGTCACAATACTTAAACAGATGAGTGCGGTGTGGCTGTGTTCCAGCAAAGCTTTGTTTATGGATACTGAAATTTGAATTCCATATAATTTCCAAGTGATTTGTTTCAACTATTTAAAAATGTAAAACCCATTCTTTTTTTGTTTTTGTTTTTTTTAACTACATGTACTTTTCATAGCTGTTTCTACATGGTGATTTTTTTTTTTTTTCTGGCTAGGAAAGATTTGCCCTGAGCTAACATCTGTTACCAATCTTCCTCTCTCTTTTTTTTTCCCCTCCCCAAAGCCCCAGTACATAATTGTATATTCTAGCTGTAAGTCCTTCTAGTTCTTTGTGAGCCGCCGCCACAGCATGGCTACTGACAGACAAGCGGGGTGGTTCCACACCCAAGAACTGAACCCAGGCTGCCCAAGCAGAGCGCGGAGAACTTTAACCACTAGGCCATCAGGGCTGGCTCTAAAACCCATTCTTAACTGGGAGGCTATACACAAAGAGTCCGCAGAGTGGATTTGACCTGCAGGCCATAGTTTGCTGACCCCAGCAGTAAACCATCCCCCCATTCTTGACGTTGTCCTTTCCATTAGCGTCTAACATTTCTAGAGTATTTAATCCTGTTCTAAGTGCTTAACATTTATTACCTCATTTCATCTTCAATTATATGACAGATATTATTATTATATTATTATTTACTGTATTATGTTAAATATATTTTATTATTAAAATTATATATTATTAAATATATTTATTATTAAATAATAAATATTTTATTATTTATTATTAAATAATAAATATATTTTATTATTTATTATATCATTATTTATATTCATTATATTATTATCCCAATAAGGAAACTGAGGCACAGGAAAATTAAGCAGTTTATTCAAGGTCACACAGCTGGCAAGAGGTAAAGACAGAATTCAAACAGTGTCTGACTGCAGAGCCAGGATCGGAAGGATAGGCTAGGCTCTGCTATGGTAGCAAATAAAACTAAAAATCTGAGTGCTTTCTTTCCAGAGGTTCTTTACATGCAACTTCCAAAGGGATCATGGATGGGAAAGAAAAGAGCGTGAGGAAGACAGACCTGCTCTTACTTGCACATCACTTCCTCCCACAGTCATTTGGCGTCCCCAGTCACTGGCTCTCCCTGCATGCAAGGAGGCTGGAAAATGGAGCTCACTTGGTGTCCAGGAAGGGAGAGATAGGTTTGGTGAGCACCGAGCCAGCCTCGGCCACGAAGCTCTTGCCCCTCAATGTGGTCCGTCTCTTTTGGCACTCCTCCAACTTCCCACTTCACTCATTGTTGGTTTCCTTGCTGAACTCCTCTCCATCAATAGATTAGTTAAATGTGGGTGCTCCCCAGCATCCCGGCTGTGGCCCCTTCACTGCTCACTGCACACATTCTCTTTTGAGAGGCTCAGTCATAGCCATGATTTCAGCTTCACTTAGAGCTCCCTGGTGAGCTCCTATCACGTATGTCTGCCCGCTAAGCAGCGATGGCTGGATTTCCCGTGTGCATCTGAAACTCAACACGTCCAAAACTGAACTCACCATCTTCCCCCACAAAATCTGTTCTTCCTTCTGTTTTTCTTATTTCTGTGAGTGATACTGCCCTCCTCCCAGCTGCCCGAGCCAAACACAAAGGCATCTTTCTAACCTCCTTCTTTTCCCTCTCTCTACATCCGTTTGATCAAGAGACTGGTCAGCTCTGTGCAGGAATCACTCCTTCCCTCCCCAGTCCCGCTGCCGCTGCCCTGGTTCACACTCTCAGCCTTCCTCCCCGGGACCACTGTGACAGTCTCTTAACCAGGCTCCCTGCCCCAGGCTTCTCACTCATCAAAATCATCTTGCTGAAAAGCAAGCCGGTCATGGTATTCTGCTGCTTAAAACCCTTCTTGGCTCCTCACTGATGTCAGAATTAAATCGGAACCTCTTATCACAATACACGGGAACCTTCAAATCAGAATCTGACCCCCTCCCTCCCTCCCCAAACTCATCCTTTGCCAATCACCAAAACACACTGAATGCTCCAGCCACACCAAGCCATTTGCAATTCCCCCAAGTGAGTTGTGCTTTGCACAGTCTCTTTCTTCTCTATGGAAGCTTCCACAACCCCATCACCCCTGTCCCAGATAACCCCTACTCATACTCCATAAGGACCATGCTTCTTGAGGAAGCCCTTCTTGTTACACACTCAGTTCACCTTCTTGGGGGACCCATGAGACCTTGTGTTGTAACATCCTTTTGCATTACAGGGCCTATGTTCTGCTCTCCTGCCCCACAGCCTGGGACACAGCATGTGCTCAATAAATGTCCATTTTTTTAAAAAGCCAA